GGCACTGTTTTGTCAGCACCAATAGCCACTGTTGGGGAGCCCTGGCATCTGGACAGCAGAGCAGGAGGCAAAGGTGAATCTTCGAGAATAAGGAGAGGGCCATGAGGCCCCTGAGCCACGTGGCAAATGCCAGCTGAGCATCTCCACTGCGGTGCGAACTGTAAGCACATACAAATGCCCCTGTGGCGGGGCCTTCTCAATGGAAGGCCCTTCAGGCAGGGTGGGACCCCCACTCTAACAAGCAGCAGCCCACCAAGGGAGGCAGGGCTGCCACGGTTCTGAGGAAAGTTCCGGGGGTGCTCTGCAGCCAGCAGTCAAAGCGCAAGACGGAACCAGCACCGCCTAGCCAAGAACGGGAGGAGCGGCTGCTTCTACGTTTTCTCATTTTATTTAAAGCTGCCATGACATATCGGAAGTGCCACGGCAATTCCATCTTCTCCCATCTTCTGAGGAGACAGGCCAGCTGCCAGATTCCCAGGAGCATCGTGCTGTCGGCAGCAACAATCCGTCCCAGCCCCTCACACCAGAGCGTGGAGAACCTCCACCTTTTCCTAGTACAGGTGGTGGAACTGCTTGGCCAGATAGTGGAACGGGGCTTCATAGTTTTCCATCTCCTTCTGTAGGGACAAGTTTAAGAAGTCAGCTGGGTTATTCCTAATCGGCACACAGCCAGCACTCCCTCCCTCTCAGCTCGTGTCAGGTGCTACACACATTTTGCCTCATCTCACTTTCACACCCCTGGGCTAGCTACTACCATTATGCCTGTTTTGCAAGAAGGAATGGAGAGACAGAGAGATTAAGATAACCTGCCAAAAGCCAAATACTTGCCAATGTGGAGCTGGGTCCGAGCCTAGATCTGTTTCAGCCACTCTCACTATATTATGACACCTGCAGGGACACTGCAGGTGAGCTGATAGGGGCGGAAAGAGGGCATCTCTGAAGTGCTCAGAGCATCAGCCCGACACCCGGCACCTAGTGAGCCCGGAGGGGCCACAGTGGGTCCCCACACAGATGCCCGCTGTCAGCTCCACATCTCCCCTCTCCCCACAGGCTGTGTGCTGGGGGCAAGTGTTGCTGCAGAGATGGGCACAGCCAGCCCTGCTTCCTGTAAATCAAGTTAGGAATTTTCACTCAGGACTGGGCATTTTAATAACTGAAATAATGGATACTTTTGTGACTAAAGATGTCAAAGCATTTTTCATTATATGAGAGATGAGAAAAGTTCTAGAATTTGCTCTAGATTCTCTCTACAGGGTGAGAAGAACTTGCCTAGAAGGTGAGCATGGACAAGCTGTAGGGGAAAGAAAATGGCACACTCTCAGCAGCTGTGGCTCTCTCCCTCTGGGTGTGCATGTGTATTACAAAAAAAAAATTTTTTTTAAGGAGACAAGTTGGCAGAAGAAAGATCCCACTACTTTCAGGACAGTAGCTCAAGCTACAAATGTACAAGATGTTTTCAAATATCCTTGGCAGCTAACAAAAGTGTAGTCTTGACACGAGGCAATGAAATACCCCCAACAAAACCGGATTCCAAAGAATGTGACAAAGCCTTGAAGCTCAGCACCTCCGTTTTGCGGAAGAGCAGTCTGGGGCCCAGGGGCTCAGCTCGTCTGTGCAGAGCCCAGCCTAGAATTCAGATTCCCAATTCGAGAGGAGCAGCCCTTCCACTCTGCCAGCCAGGGTGACAGAAATGCGCAAAGGAACCTAGTTCTCCTGGAGAAAGTTACCTGGACTTTCTAGCAAGGGAAGTTCCAGCGGGGGAGACAAGTGGCCAAGAGCAGGAACAGAGGCAGCAGTGCTAAGCGAGCACTGAGGAATGAGAGGACAGCGTGCAGCCAAGACGAGCATCCGCACTAAGCTCATGACTGCCAAGGACCAGAAGGCTGTTACTCTCCAGGCAGACGTAAGGGAAATGACTCAGTTACATCTGCAAGGCACCTTTGGTCGTGCAGAGCATGACGTCCTAGGCAACGCCAACATCAAAGAGTAAAATGTCATAGCAGTTCCAAGTATAGTTAAGTATTACATAGCACACATGCAAGGATTTCCAAATGAACTTGAAAGGTTTTGAAATCAAGATCTTGGGAGAATGTAACAAAAAAAGTAAGAAATTCAGTGGAGGTGGGCCCCAGAAAAAGCAGATGTAAATCGAACCATTTTCCAAATGCATTAAAAGAGCTTTCCAATGACAGGAATCCTTTTGTTATTGACCAATTATCATCTTGCTGACATACCCTACAGTAGTTTGTTTTGAGTGAAGGATCCTTAGAGCAGGTTCAGATCAGCACTTAATCTGGCCTAGAATTCTGCCCCTGAGAGTCCCAAAGTAGGCTCTGTGGGAGGCTACAGCCCCTTCTAGAAGGCCCAGGCTCTCAAGCTGGACAGGCCTGTATTCTAGTTCTGGGTCTACCATTCATTAGCTGGGCTACCAGGGAGAGTTACACAACCCTTTTGAGTCTACTTGTCATCTGTATGACAGGGATGGCAGTGGCTCTCTTATAGGGCTTTAGAAGCTTCAATAGATAATATGTGGAGAATACCTAGCACACAGTAGGCACTCAACAAACATCAGTTCCCTTCTCCTCACCTTCCTACACGGGGAGAGTCATCCATATGAATTGTTCTTGAACTCTCTTATATTTATTATTGTACAAGTTCTTACAATAATGAATGATATTTAAAAAAAATTTTAACTTCTTTTTAAGGAATGCTTTTTAATTTTTTAGCCTGAAAATTTCAAATATGGAGGGGCATTACAATAGTCAAAGAAGAACCACAAAAGACCCTGAACAGCCAAAGTAATCCTGAGAAAGAACAAAGTTGGAGACATCACACATCCTGATTTCAAACCATATTACAAAACTATGGTAGTCAAAACAGTATGGTACTGCATAAAAACAGAAGCAAAGACCAATGGAACAGAATTGAGAGCCTAGAAATAAATACCCACATATACGGTCAACTAGTATTTGACAAGGGAGCCAAGAATAATCAATGGAGAAAAGACAGTCTCTTCAATTAATGGTGTTAGGAAAATTGGATATTCACACGCAAAAGCATGAAATCAGATCCCTAGTTTATAACATTCACAAAAATTAACTCAAAGTGGTTTTAAGATTGGAACTTAAGACCTGAAACCATAAAACTTCTAGAAGAAAACATTGGGAAAAAGCTCCCTGACATTGACCTTGGCAATGATTTTATGGAAGTGGCAACAAAGCACAGCAACAAAAACAGAAATCAACAGCCAACTCAAAAGCTTTTGCATAGCAAAACGAAAAGGCAACCTATGAATGAGAGCATATTTTCAAACCACACATCTGATAAGGGATTAATACCTAAAATATATAAGGAACTTGTACATACTACTCAAGAACAAAAACACAAATAATCTGATTTAGAAAATGGGCAGAAGATCTGAATACACATTTTTCAAAAGAAGATATTCAGATGGGCAATAGGCACATGAAAACGTGCACAGCATCACGAATCCTCAGGGAAATGCAAATCACAATCCCAATGAGGTAGCACCTCACACCTGTTAGAATGGCAACTACACAAAAGACAAGGGATAACAGGTGCTGGATAGGATGTGGAGCAAAGGGAACTCCTGTGCACTGCAGGTGGGAATGTAAACTGGTGCAGTGGCTATGGAAACCAGTATGCAGGTTCTTCAAAATATTTAAAATAGAACTATGGTGATCCAGCAATTCCTCTTCTGGGTAAATATCCAAAGGAAATGAAATCACTTCCTTGAAGAGGTAAACCTGTAGCCCCATGTTCACTGCAGCATGACCCCATGTCACAAGAGTCAAGATATGGCAACCACTTAAGTGCCCACTGACAGATGAGTAAAGAAAATAAAAATCTGATGTATATACATATTATATTATACAAAGTATATAACAATGTATAACATATACATAATTATAGATATAGTATATGTATGTATATATATATTTGGCCATAAAAACAGAAGGAAATCCTGCCATTTGTGACAACATGGATGGACCTTGAGAGCATTATGCCAAGTGAAATAAGTCAGACACTTTATGTTCACCTATATGTGGATCTAAAAAGTCTGAGGTCATAGAACCAGAGCCGATGGGTGGTTGTCAGGGGTGGCGGAGGGAATGGGTGAAGGTAGCAGAGTGCAAACTTCTGGTTTTTAAGATGAACAAGTTCTGGGTATGGAATTAAAAGTAAAGAAGTCCCACAACCATGTGGGTACCTCCTTCAGGTCTGCAGGATGATGGCTGTTGTGCTCAGGAAGAGGAGAGGAGATGAGCTTGGTGTCAAGACTTGACTGTGTCTCAAATAGCACTGGGTTATATTTCCTTTTTAATTACAGCTTTCTTAACCAAGCTGCCAGGTGCGCTTCTGTTAGCATCGACTCAGGAGGGACTAGTTACCTTGCATAGTTAATACCAAGTACTTACCGCAGCCTCCTCAAGCATAATTTATACCCACCTCTCTCACCAGCATAGCAACAACTATGTGAACAGTTTAAACACACAGCCCAGTGGCCTTTGATGACTAATATGTTGGGGTGGATGTTAATTTCTGAGTTCCATCATGAAGTCTGGGGACTATGGGATATTGGGGTGAAGAGGCAGTTCCACTAATGTGAATGGAGGAAGAGGGAATACTAAAATATTGTTTGCTGTGGGTAGTACAGCTTGCTGCTCTGCTCTGAGGCGTGCTGCATAAAAGATGAGAAACCTCTGTGCAGTCAACACTAATTTGAACTTCATTTATTTAGTATTGGGTCAGAAGTGAGAGTGACATTTATTTCTGTATAATCTAAGAATACAAGGATTTAAATAATCACAGTATAAACAAGATTACTAGAGGGAATATTTATACTTTAAAAAAAGCTAACATTTATGGAGTGTTTACTATGTACCAGACTTTGTGCTTAAGTGTTTTTAATACTCACCATCTGACTTCTTAGATTTATTACTCAATGAAGAATGTATTTTATTCTCCCCGTTTCCTAGGTGAGGAGCCTGAGGACCCCGAGTAGCATGCTGAGGGCCCCACAGCTAGTTCTGCTGCTCCCCATCAGAGGCCAGAGCACCTGCCTTCCACTGCTCTTCTCACAGAAGCACACCACTTTGGGCGGTGGAAAAATTCACATCCACATAGCAACTAAGCAGCAGCATTGGTCAAGTTTTGTAGACGCAACAGCGGAAGTGCCCATAGCTTGAGTGGAAAACCACCTCCTGGCTATTTATTAGCAGGCCAATGATTCTTTTGAAGGGCCAGAGAATCAGGTCTGGGGCCCACAACACCAAACAGTGAGGTCTAAGTTACAACCAGGGATGTTTCTGGCTGTGCCAGGCTTAGCAAGTCTCCCCAACAAAGCCGGCCCATGGTGGCCCTGAAATGGATGTTTCTGGGTTGCTCCTGCTGGGACATGTCTTCACCTTACTCTCTTCCTTCAAGTTGCACACAGAAGTATCTGATTGGTGCCTGGGTCACATGCCTGCACCCTGCTACAGGGGGACTGGGACCTCAAAAACCCCAAACATAGGAAGGGGGCTCCCCAGCACAGGATAGTCGGACTCATGATGTAGTGTTCTGAAGGTGCCTGAAACAAATCACTGTGGCTGTCTCCCTTAACAAGGGCTCCTGCTGTCTCTGTTGGAAGACACTCTGTGGCCCAGAGTCACCTTGGGGCTGCAGCAAGGTGGGACAGAGAGCCCTGATGGGAACAGAAGCCAGGATTCCAGCCCTGGCTTAACCTTTTGCTGGTCAGGTGATCATGTGACCTTGGGCGAGTCACCTCCCCTCCACAACACGGAAGTGGGAATTGTGGGCCAGCTTCCGATTCACAGAACTGATTGTGAGGATCAATGCAATAAGGTACCTACAACACTGAAACCCATCGTTTTTCATGCAAACATCAAGGGTCACTGTAATTGAACTTAAGCTTCTTACTGATTGAGACATAACTTTTCCCACGGCTGGCTGGCTGGGAATGCACAAGTGACTCTCACTATATTGAGAAGAGATCTTGTGCTAAGAATGTAAACATCAGATCCAAATTAGACTCTGCATATGGTGGAGTAACTACTCAATGCCTGTGAGGTCATGTGAAAAGCCACTTCCAGCAGAGGCCCACTCCAGACTTGGCTGGGGAGCAAATGGAGATACTTACCACGGACGTTTCAAAACATTCCAGGCCTTGGCCCAGCGCCCACGCCCGGGCCTGAGCCGATTCCACTGCTCGTCTGCTGGCCAGGTCTGTCTTATTCCCCACTAAGACACCTACTCAAAAGAAACAACCAAAGCATTGCATTTAACTGTGGCCGTCTGGGAGGACAGCCGGAGAAATAAAAGAGCAAGCACACTAATTCTGAGGGGTGTAAACATCACCAGATTTGAGGTGGTGAGCACAACAGGGAGAGACAAACAGGGCCAGGGGGTCCTGTGTTGGCTCCCAGGGGCTGCAGCAGAGCAGGCGGGCTTTGTTTTACACACACGTCTTTTGCTTGACCCTTTTTCTGCACCTCATACATATCTGTCTGCCTTAAGGCTGCAAGCGCTGTGCAGGCGAGGGCTGAATTTATGTGAGCATTTGCGATAATTCCTAGCACATGGAGCAAACTTTAAAATGGTCATTAATACTAATCTAAGGACTGGGCGCAGCGTCAGGGACTCAGAGGTAATTTAGTTCCATTCCCAGCTGCATCAGCTGCAGCTAATTTTTGAGCCTGTCCCTGGAGATCGCTTTCCCTGGTCTATAACAAGGAGAATTTGTTGATCTCATATAGGGATGAAAAATAAACTGATTTAAAGCATTCAGAAGTGACAACAGGGACATGGGTGTTTACTTGTGCCCCACATACAGGAGGAAATGAGAAATTCGTCCCTCGGGTTAGCTCTCAGAAATAAAAACTCGTATCACAGCACCTTCTCCCTTATTATCTTGAGTCTCCTCACACTCTGCAAGGTGGGTTATCATCATGCCCATTTTACAGCTCAACAGACATGTGGGTACCTCCCTGAGGTCTCCGCTAAGAGGCAGAGCCAGTGTGCAATGCACAGCATCATATTTGAAGCCTGGGCACTCTGTTTCTGCACTCATAGCCACCACTGTAATGACCTTGTGCTCATGAACCTGAAGAAGAGAGGTGCTGACAGGTGGAAGCCCGGAGGGCCTACCTGGGAGGCAGGTCCCTGGAATCTGTGACCGAGCCTTCTCCAGCCATTTGCTGCAGTTGTTGAAGGACTGCTCACTGGTCACATCATAGACGAGACACAAGACATTGGGCCTCTCCCACTGTGCAAGAGGGACAGGTGAGAGCATGTCAGCGACCGTGAAAGTGACTTCTAGGCTGGAAGAAAATCTGGCCTCCCAAGGGGCAGGTGGGTGGAGAGAAATGAAGCACTATAATGGGGATGTGAGTCAGAAAGCTGTGCCACACCCACGGAAGAAAACAATTCACCCAGAGGCATGAATGGGAGGGCTGGGCTCTGCGGTGGGGCAGGGCAAGGCACAGTGCCAGCTGTCTGTGGGTGCTGTCAGGCCTCATTGTGAAACCTCCCAACTTGACAGGGCTGCTCTGAATGTCTTTACTGTGTTGCTGAAGAAACTAAGTTCAGAGAGGGTAGGTGACCTGTGCAGGTCAGGAACTCTTTAAAGACTGGGGTAGGACTATGGCTTTTCTCTACCCAGAAATGCTTTTGCCTGCCACTGGTCTCATTAATTTAATTTATTCTTTTACTCATATGTACATTGAAGGCTCACTTTCATGCAAGTTGTTATGCTTCTCTGCTTTGCTGGCCTAAAAGAAATTCGTTTCCTCCATTAGCCAGCCCCTGGAAGCTTGTTTGCTTGCAGATTCTTAATAAGAGCTGGCTTTTCAAAATGCAAAGGGTGCTTTCTACCTCTCCTGTGATGTATCAGCCTTAATCCAAACCAAACTGACAGCTGGACAGGGCTTGCTGTCCCAGTTAAGAACCAGGGCTATGCTTTCAGGGGCTGCTCAGAGTCTTGGGATATCCTGCTTCCAAGCACTGATAGTCCTGCTTGAGCTGGGATGCTCGTCCTGGTGCACAGGCTCCTGGTCATGCCCTGATCTCTGGGGACCCCGTTCTGCACAGTTAAAGCTTGGTTTCTTGCTGGGGTGTCCGTAACCTCCCAGGATGTGAGGGAGAATCCTCTTCTCTCCAGTTGTCCTTGGAAAGCCAGCCCAGGATTGGCTGTGGAGGGCTCTCCTCCTTGCCCCCGAAGGCTACACTGACTCCCCAAGGCATCCAAAAAAGGAGCAGCTTAGAATGAACTGATGATCCCCTCACACCTTCTTTCCACAGACTCACTCAAGAACTCTTACTAGAACCACACTGACCTCCCCTCTGCACGTGCAGGAGATAGCTCCTTCCTCCAGGCCTCAGTGAGGGAGGCCCAGGATAGGCCTGGAATAGAGCTGGAGCTGGAGCGGGAGAACCCAGAGTCAGGGCTGGCTGGAGGGGTGTGTGTGAGCAGATCAGTAGCTCTGACTTGCCCAGACACATCTTGTCATCTGCCGGACAGGGCAGCACCCAGTGTGAGGTTGTGGGCAGAGTAGGTGCATGGTAAACATCATGAATTGATGCATGAAGCCAACCCTATGTGAAATTACCATCATTAGATCTATTTCTCTTACACAACAAAAAAGGAGCAGAAAACAGTTGCTATTAAAATGCTGTTGCTGTTCTTGGAAAGGCAGGGGAGGGCTCTGGAGAGCGCATCTCTTCTAATTAGCTCACTAGCCCAGATTAGCGGGAACTGTTACCTTGGAACGAGCAACAAGCTGGATCCTGAGAGGATGGCTGGAGGGGCGTGGTGAGCCCTGGGCAGCAGCAGGCGCATGTTTGAGGAAACCCTGTGGGCCCAGGACCGCGCATGCAAGGTGAGCCTCACTACAGAGCCTCTAGGGCGCCCCCTACAGGGGAAGGGGAGATCTGCTCCTGTCCTAGGAGATTGGAGGAGGGCCTGAGCGTGGGGATGCTGCAGTCTGGGTCCCATAGTTTGAGCACATCTGGAACCCAGCCATTCCAGAGCTGGGGGAAGGTTGAATCGCATGCACGAGCCACTGCTCCTGCCAATGGGCCACAAGTCCCAAGGCTGGGAGGAATGCCCCTTCAGGAATTTTGCCATGGTAGCTTCGCTAGGTAGCCAGAGTGCAGAAATTTCTGGGAGAATATTGTAAAAGGCACATGTGTTGGTGAATGGAGGTGGTGATGATTAGGAAAAACACTGCATGCTACTTACCAATTTATCCAACATTTCAGAAAACAGCTCCTTGCCAGCAGAATCAAAAATGAAGAGTTCCTAGAATCAGAAAGGCATGTCCCAAGAAAGTCTACAAGGTGGGAAACCACTGGCTTCAAGTGGACGAGATTACACTCAGCCCTCTCTGGGCCTGTCTTGGTGGTGAGACACATGTGCACACACGTGCACACATTTTCATACTCATTCTCTTCCCCCCAGGCATGAGGAAGATGATGGGGAAAGGGAAGACTTACGGTCTTGGAGAGGCCATGCCATGGCTTCCCACACCAACGAGCACTTTCTGTGTGGCATCTCACCTCTCCTAACCCCAAGTGCAAAAATACCAGGAACAAGCTGACTTCCCACCTGGCAGAACAGAATGCTAAACAGGCTGACAAGTGCTCTGGTTTCCAAAAGGTCATTCTGCACTTTGTTAACCAAATTGATTTTCAAATCTTAAAGCAATTCTTGTTAAAGGAGGTCACTGAGTAGGCCTGGGGAAGGCGTTTAAAGTAGGACAGTCTGTCGCCATTCTGGGTTGGCTAAGGTGTGATTCCCATGGAAGATGCAGGATGACCCTTCCTGCCCAATCCAAACCTTGGCCAGCCTACGTGGGAGCCCCTCCCCCGTGCTACCATTCTGGGAAGTCTCCCTGTTTCCCCTCCATCTTCCTCCAGGCACCGGTCATCCCCGGCAGGCTTCTGGCCTCGGCACATGCTGTCTGAATGTCAGTACATTACCTGCCCTGCTCACTGGTTATCTATGCATGTGTCTGATCCCTTCTCACTGCATGGGGGGGGTACTTAAAATTGTTTTTTGCTCATGGACCTCTTTGAGAAGTTGGTTATTCTTAAACCTTCTCTCCAGGAAAGTACATACAAACAACGTCTTGCAATTCAATTTTAAGAGTCACGGCTTTCCAAAGGGCCGGGGCTTAGAACCTTGGCACCAGGCGAGTGAGGGCAGGCCTATCCCAGTCTTCCTCACTTCCTCTTCTTCAGCCCCTCCCTAGAATGCTCCCCGTGTTCCACAATTCCCTTCCCAAATTCTGTTGCTCACATGAATCTAGGCCAAGTCCAGCACCACAGCTCTTATGGGATGCCGATGGTGACCATGGGGATGCCGGGCCCCACTTGGGGTAGCACGGAACCCCCTCAGGTCAGGGGTACCACTCACCACACTGTCCCCCGTGTCAGGGACTGGCACCGTCTTCACCACCAGATCCACCCCTGCTGTCTGCCGAGGGAGATGGAGAACATGTGCATCAGAGGCCCCGAGGGGCGAGTTACAGGAGGACAGGATGAGCACCCGACAGCCAGGAGGCACGTCCCCAGCTTAAGCATTTGTGTTCTGGACTCACTTTTAGTGCATGAGTCAGAAAGGACCAACTAGTGTTGTCCAACCCCTGCCGGCAAGCGAGCTGTACATGGTGACCAAGTAGACTACTGGCTGGCCTGCTCCACAGACAGCCTCACCCCCCTTGGCTTGTGGAAACACGATCTCCACGTGGCCATTCAAGCAGCCTTTTAGGGCTTCTTAGGAAATTTTGGAATGCCACTCCCTCAGGGTTATCTGATGATCACCTCTCTGTGAGCCTTGGCCAGACCTACAATTCCCCCATCTCACCAGGGTGTAGTTCTTCTGGAAATGGGCTCCATTGATGCGGAAGATCTGTGCCAGGGCAGTCTTGCCCACAGCTGGGTCTCCTGTGAGGTCAGAGTAGGAAAAAAACATCACTTCCAGCCTATTTGGACATGAGAAACTCCCACACCAGAACGCTAGTCTGGAAACCACAAACTTCAATGAGTTTTCAGAGAAAATGTACTTGATTCTCACAGGAACATGCAGTGGGTCCAGGAGACCAACCTGCAAAACCCACAGTGGCCAGAGTCACATTCTTCAAAGGTAATCTTTTCACCCAAAGAACTCACCCAGAAGGTAACAGCTTAAGGAGGGCTTTAGAGCACTGGCAGTACTACTGACAGTCTTCCACTGAAACATACCCCGTGGGGAAAAACTGACTTTCAAACTTGAACGTGCTTTGAAGTCTTGAAGGTAGAGAGGTGGGACCAGCCAGTCTTATTGGCTCACCTTAGTGACTGAGCCAATTTGAGTTGAAAGCTTCCATACTTAGGACCCTGCATACTTTTTTTTGGGTTCGGGGGAGGTGTGGTAGGAGTTCGGAGGGTTTCTGCATTTATGGGAAACAAGTCAGGTACTACAGTTACCATCCTGAAGTCCATTTCCAAGTGATCTAATCCACCCCAGCTTGGTGTGCCATTTGTGAAGCACTGTGTGTCCATCTTCCCAGGGGCCTCTCCCCTAATCGTCCGCACCAGCTCAGATAGATGTTTCCCTCAAGCTCATCTGACACCAGCTGGGTTACCTCCTTTTGTCAGTCCACAGCACCCCATAAATTGGTACCTCGAAACTAAAGGTTTATGCCAGTTTTCAGACTGAGATCTGGACCTTTTACAAAACCATGGGAAGCAGTTTAATCTGGAGTCCCTCCCCTGCCCCAAGGGGTGCCAGGGCGCTCTGTGGCCTTGAGAATTTCTGCGCCCTTCCCACTGCCTCACCTGAGGCTCTGCTTGGCCTCTGATGCCTCTGCTCTCACCTGCAAGCTCTTTTCCACCTTGAGCCTTACACTGATCCACCCTCCATCGCCAGACCCCCAACAGGACCCATTCTCGGCATTCTCACCCCTTAGATCCTCACAAAGGCCCCCTACACTTGCTGGCCCCCCGACGTGCCATCTCTTCACCTCTGCTCCCCACTTTACAGTCAGTGGCAGTACTTCTCTTCCCTCAACTTCTCGATAGCCTGCTGTTCTGCTTATTTTCAGTTTTGAGCTTTCCCACCTATAATTTTCTCTTGTGAGACAATTATTTGCCTACTTGTGGCATTTCATTTCCCATTAACTCCTCCAGGTTTGAGTGAGCTATTCTGGTCTTGCTTTTCTATTGGCTACTGCTTCTTAGCAGAGAACCAACCTGCGCTGGGCCTCCCTCAAGAGCTCTTCACAATCCCACCACAACTCCCCACCCCCATGGTGACTGCCACTAACCTCATCTGACAGATGAAGAGACTGAAGCTCGGAGAAGCTGGAGAGCCTGCCTAGGATTCCAACATCTCTCTCTCTCCTCCAGAGCCCACTTTTCTAGAGCTCAGGGACACTCCTGACCCATTTTTAACAGTGCCCCTCCAGGCCCTCATCAGCGCAGCCTCCCATGACATCGGGTACCACAGGCTGGCCTGTCACGGGGCACCCATCCATCTCCGAGCAAACAGAGCATATCACTTGCCCTCTTGCCCTATGACTGCATCCACCTTCCCAACTCCAGTTTTGCTTCTGAATCCAGTTGGAAATTGGCTCTTCCTGCTTGTGAAACTCCCCAGAGATTTGTTCCGGTTAATTTCATAAATCTTTTTTCCGACTGTCAGTCAGAGTCGCCCACACTTGTGGAACACCTCCTGTGTTGGCTGAGGAGGGATCCAAGCACAGAAAGGGGAAATAACTGATAAACATGTTTGTAGAACAACAAGATGACAAGTGCCAATTCAAAGAGCACAGCTGAGAACCAAAGCGACTGCAGACACATGGAGGAAGGAATGAATGGGCGGGTTCATCAGAGAGCCGGACTTCCTGAGGGGCAAGGCTGAGCCTGGGGGTGACGAAACGGAGGGGCACTGCTTGGCAGACAGGGTGACATCTGCAAAGGCACCATGCAAGGTCACCATAACCTCATAATTGCCAAATCCAATGGCTTTTTCTCAGTTCTCATGCACCTTGACGTCTCTGAAGAATGAGTCAGCCTGAAGCAGCCCCCTCCTTGCCCAGCCCTCTGGCCCTCAGCCCCAGTGGCCCTGCACCAGCCTGGGTCTCCTACCGCCCTGCCCACTCACCCTGCCTCCCAACTGTGGGCACTGCTGTGGGTCTGTCTGTGGCCTCCTGTTCCCATCTACTCTGTCCCATTTACTCTCTGTCTTGACTGTCACTTCTCTGGTCAGGATCTCTCTCCAAGCTTTGTCTCTGTCTCCAACCACCTGCGGATGTTTCCACCAGAATGAAGGGCCTCCACCCAACCTGTTTGACTATAGCCGGGCCCATGTCCTGCATCTGGGGCCTGAGTGGTCTCGCCCTCCTGTCTCACTTGTTCTGTTTGTGATGTTGCCCTTCTTTCCTGCCATCCCCAGATGTCACCCAGTCACCTCTGACTGCTCTTCTGCCTTCCTCCCATGTCCAGTTGGTCTCCCCTTCCTTCCTGACATCCACTGCTGCATCTCAAGCCCACATTTCCTTCCTTGTCCTGCTGATGATGCACTAATTGCCTCGCACCTCACACCTGGGCTCCTGCCTTAGCCCCAGTCCCACCCACCCCTGCTGTCCCACAGGGGCTGGGACTCTGCAAACATGGTTCTCCTTTGCCAGGGGCTTCCTGTCAGGCTCCACCAATGCATGTTCCAGAGAGCCTGGCAGGCACAGGAGGGGAGGCGGGACTTTTTCGTTTCCTTGTGTTTGCTGCTTTTCTTAGTGATATCCCAGAGGGGACAATGAGATGCAGTCCCCAGTCTTTCTGCACTCCCAGACCAGCCTTATCACACCCCCTTAGACACTGGCATCGGGGGCAGCGCCCCTTTTCAGAGAGCTGCCTCTCAGCTCCACAGGGCCCTCCTGAGCTGCCAGGATCTACAACCTGCCTCTTGCCTCCGTTCCCCGGCCGTGGCCTGAGGCTCCTTCCTGTAGTTACCCTCTGCTGTCCCCTTGTCTTTCCAGTCCACAAGTGCCTGTTTAATAACATCACACACTAAATCCTGTCAAAATGACTGGTGTGGTTTCTGTGTTTCGTCTGGACCCTGACATACGTAGCACTTGGTACCAGGAGTGGTTTCAAAACATAGACCCGAGGATGACCTGGAATTGGTTGGTCATGTGTTGCCCTGAACATGGGGCCGAGCTCCCTGCCCAGGGGAAGTGGGTCCTCATGCTCTGTGGCATGTGGTGGCATCACACTCTGGGTGTCTGAGTTCCTGAGGTCCCATCCCAGCTGTGTAGTGCCCCCGCCTCAGAGGATGGAACCCAGCTCTGTGGGGTTTGGCTTCCAGCTCCTAACAACCCAACTCTACCACTTCTGTGTCATCCTACCGTTTTCTTCTTGCTTTTTCAGTTTTCTAACACCTGTTGAACCAGTTCTGTATATTATGATTTCTCTGTTGAAATGTCTAATGTATTTTGTGTTTTCCTGACTGGGTGTTGCATGAAGACACTCCCCAGCTGGCCCTCTCTGCTTGTCGTTTTTCTCCGGGCTCTAACGCACCCTGTCAGCACCCACAGAGGGACCTGCGCAAAACAGTATTTTCACTTTGCCTTGATCTTACATTACCCGTCAACGATTCCTTCTGCATACCCATCTCCAGTCAACCCGGTTCATCTCCTGACTCTGACTATCCCTTACACAGACTCTGGGCTCTACACTTCTGCTCCCTTGATCTCTGAATATCCCCTGGGAGATAACCTCCTTCTGGGTCTCCCCAATCCATGTCCAAATCCTATTCACTCTCTGCTAGGTAAAGCCATGTAGTGTCTTCCTGCACAGCCTCTGAAGGTCACCTGTCCTTCCTTTGTCTTTACCTATGTGGCTAATGCAGCTCATTGCTGGTAGTGTGGGCCTTGATGTCAGAACAGCCTTCCACAGAACGCTCACTATTACTACCCCTGCTAAACCAAGAGGCAGTAAATCACAATACTCAGATTGTAGACTCCAGCAACACACTTACTAGCTTATTACCTTGGGTCAGTCATCTCTCTAGGCTTCAGTTGCCCAATCTGCAAAATGGGGATAGTAACAGCACATATCTCATAGAATTGTTAGGAGGATTTAATGAGTTAATATGTACAATGTCTGCCATATATTAAATAATGTTTACTTTAATGCAAAGAAAGTGTAAATGTCAAGCCTTGTTTTCTTTCCTTATCTGAGCCAGAATAATTAGCAGCTGTGCCTTGAGGCATTTCTGTAGTTAATCTGGCACATGAAGGGCAACAGATTCATGTTTGCTGCATTTTGAGTTATTATACACATTGTGGCACTTGGCTGTAGGGGCTGCCTG